GTCTAGCCCGATTTTTTTAAATTATTATTTATATAATTTTAATTTGATTTAATTTTTCTATATAAATTTTTATCTATTCAAATAATTAAGATTTATCTATTAACTTTTGAAGTAATGAGCATGCATATATATTTTCTACAATTTAAGATCTATATTGATGAGGATTAATTAATAAAACATGACTTCATTGGGAAATTGAAAAGGTTGAAAAGGAATGATCAAATTTGATAAATTTTGAATTAAAATATGTGCAAAATTTTATATAGTAAGTTACAATCTTGCAAAAAAAAAAATTAAAATTAAGTCTGGACTGCCTGGACCAGTCCAGGCAGTCCAACTCGACCTCGGGTTGGCACTGGACTGGACCAGATCTCGAGCTGTTTTTTTCAGCCTGAAGTCTTTACTAGACCAGACTTTGGGTTAATAACAAACCCAGTCCAGTCTAGTCCATGCACACCCCTGCCCACATAGATGACCGACTAGGGACATTTAGGATAAAATCATGAGTTATCCAAGGATAGTCATCACAGTAAACATGCAAATAATATGATAACATAATTAAGAAATTCATAAATCAACAATGTTCATAATACAATGATTAGTCCCTATGACACAATTTCCAACATTTATTTGTCCCTTTCGCTTCATATAATTACTCAACTTTACACATAATTTTAAAATTTGATCTTATTTTAATTTTGATATTTAAAATTTAAAACTAGTGGTTTTGATTTTTGAAAACCTTATTCAGAGACAAAAAAACACTGTTTCATAGACCAAAAATCTTTAACGAGATCAAAATAAAATCAAATTTTAAGAATCAAAACTATTGGTTTCAAATTTCAAGAACCTTTTGGCCAAAAAAAAAAAAATTTCAAGAACCAAAATAAATTGAAATGAGATCAAATTTTAAGAAGTAAAAATAATATTAACCCTTGAAAAAACCAAAAGTTTTATAAGTATTATTATCTTAATATTAGTCTTCCCAGCACTCTCTCGGATGTTTTATGACATTATAAATTATTTGGATCGATTTTTGTTAAAAAAAATTATCCTGACAAACTAAAATTTATTTGAATGATTGATTGTAAAATAGGTTTAAATGTGAAATGATTAAAAGGTTTAAAAGGGTATGAATTTTATTAAGTAAAATACTTTTATTTCCTGTACAAGGCGAACGATATTCCAATGCTTATTCTAAGGTAATTTCCTTTGTTTTTGAAGGTTAATGTTTCCTTTTATTTCTAAAGATTTCACAAGGTATAAGTATATAGATTTATTGATGATTTTCCTTTTATTTGTTGTAATTCTTTTGTTGATACGTAAGAGTGAAAAAATCATTTATAAAAAAATAAAATTAATAACAAATAATATTAGCTAATTTTTTTCTTTTTTAATCTCAATATATGATATAAAATCTCATAGGCAAGGGCTGACAATCCCGAGTTCAATTTCAACATACCTAGTAATGAATTTTTAAGATAATAATTCAATTTTTTTCCACAAAAAATGATGGTTAAAATATTATCTTCCTTTTTTTGGGTAAGCAAAATATTATCTATATTTTAAATCCCATGTCTATTACAGTTAAAATCTATCAAAAATATTAAAATGAAGTAGTATTAAATGAAGCGTGGAGAGTAGAGATTTGTTTGGGTTAATATGTGGAAAAGTGACTTTTATTTTTATTGTATTTTTCAAATTGAAATTTGGCTAAAATTTAATTAATATAATGTGATTTATATTTATATATTTTTATAAAATAATTATTTTATATATTTATGGAAACAAAAACTTTAAAAATTGAAAAATTGCATACAGAGAGATTTCAAGATCTTTTTCTATGATTTTCCCTATATTCATCTGGCTTTTACAACTCTAAATGCTTGATAATGTGACTTCAGGTCTGATTTGATCTTTGGAAAAGAAAAATTATTTGACTCCAATGTCAGTCCAAAGCCAAATATATCTTTTGGCCCTATCAAGGTGATTTTTGAGGTGACGAAGGCCAAATATATCAGTTCCAAATGTACGTTTGGTTTTCAGTTTGTCAGAAGTCAACCCTTAAAGGTTAATTATTGCAGAAGAATTTATAGTAGGATACATTTCTAAAAAACTTAGTTTGATAACATGGAAGTTATTTAGAAGGTAATCCAAACCAATTTTTACTACTGAAAAGTAATCGAAAGTTGTTCAAAATTCAACAGTTCTAGGAAACAATCATATTAACTTTTGACAAATGGACTTTTAGAAGCATTTGTAAATGGATTTGGTGAAAGAAAACAAATTACCCAAATAACTCTGACTTCTAAAATCTACATGCAAAGATGTTTAGTTTTCAAAAGCGGAAACCAAACCTCTTGGTCAACCATGCTTCCAAGAGCTTACCAAGTCATGAAATGCGGTTGAAGATGAGCCACCTGAAGACCAAGCAGCAATGGCCCTGGCTTTCATCTCCAAACTCCTCTGTCTCAGAATCTTCCCTTCTTCAAATTCCATCAATTCCTTCACTCTTCTTTCCACTTCCTCTGCAACGACCAACCCTAGTTTGCTTCCATCCCTTGCTGCTTCTTCACTTATGATAGGTATGGCCACTTTCATCTCCTTCACCATAATCACACTGTTCAAGTTCTGCTCTGCGTACAATGGCCAAGCCACCATTGGCACTCCATAGCTCACTGCTTCCAACACTGAGTTCCAACCGCAGTGAGTCACAAACCCACCTACTGATTCATGCCTCAGAATGGCATTCTGTGGGGCCCATGATTTCACAACTAGACCCTTCTCTTTGGTTCTCTTTAAGAAACCATCTGGTAACAGTTCTTCCAATTTGGGTTCTGTGTCCAGACCCAGAGGACTCTTCACTACCCACAAGAATCTATGGTTGCTCTTTTCTAAACCAATAGCTATTTCTTTTATCTGAGCTTCAGAGAACACTCCCTTGCTTCCAAAGCACAAGAACACAACACTTCTATTTGCCTGCTTATCTAACCATGCTATGCAATTAGATGTTTCGTCTTCAGAAGAGGAACTGGAAATAGCATGATCTCTCGCACTTGTAATCAATGGACCAATGCAGAAAATTGGTGGGGTTTGATCATTTGGGGCACAAACACCATTTTTCATAGGTTCAACAGCTCGGGGTTCAAGAAAATTGAAGGTGTTCACTATGATTCCCTTAGATTTCAGAAGAGAAGAAGCAAAACTAAGAAAGAAGTGGTAGGAGGGGCCCTCTCGACTCAGCACAGGTTCAGGGGCGGAAGAAGCGCTGAGAAAATTAGGCAAACCAGAAAAATTCAAAGGAGTCTCTGTGAGATCTTTGAAGCTTTTATTGGTTTGGTCATGCAAGGTAGGTAAGTAGAGGAAGAAAGCCAGAGCAGAAGCACATGAGGTGAAGTAGCAGAAAGTGGGGATGTGGGTCTTCAAGTTTTCATGAGGAGCTGAGGTCACAAGAGCCAAAATAGTGAAGGAAGAAGATAAAGTTTTGAGGGCATCAAGAACATTAAGAGCATTCATGGCGACAGAATCAAAGACTGAAACTTGGAGGGAAGGGAGATAAATGAAAGACATGGGAATCCCAGTTAGGGAGAGATCACTGATGTATGATGAAGAAGCAGAAGTAGAGTGATCAGAAGGCATGGATGGGACCAAGATGAGTATGGATAAATGGGGTTGGTGTTGCAAGATAAGCTTTCCCAGTTCAACCATGGAGACCAAGTGAGCAAAACTTGGAGCTGGATACAAAACTATTGTTTCTTTCATTTTTACAGAGCAGAGGAAGAAGAAGAACTCAGATCCCTCTTTTGCCGGAAGCGCACAAGAGTTAAGTGATTAAGATGAGCCAGGGCGTCGGGGTACCAATTATGCTGTACAGATTGAAAAGTTCTAGGATCTCAAGATAGAATTAAATACATAATCCCATTTGACAGGTGGAAATAAAGTGGGCTTCCAAGGAGAGTGGGGCTTCCGTTGTCACATCAGGGCTCTTAGCCACGCCACCCCACACTTTTTTTATTGTTTATTGCAAGTCTCTGTTTTGCCTAGATTTCTTTGTTTTTTTTGACCTTAGTGTGAAAATGTTGCATAGTAATAAAGGTTTTGAATTTCAAGACAACATTGAAAACTTCACACACATTGGCAATAGTGATAAGACTCGATAAGCAAGTTTATCAATAAATCCCGAGATTATTCTAGTCACTTTTGTGGTGAAAATTTGACATCGTGTAGTTAGGGTTTTAATACTCTTGTTTTTTGGGAATCCTAAATCATTTTCCTTAATTTATAGGATTAGAAGCTTAAATCCCATTGCACTTTTTGAGTTCTTTATATATTGGTGTATTAATTTATATGCTCATTGTTAATTTAGAATGATTAATTCAATATAGACAAAAGAATGTTAAACATTAAACAAATTAATTTGAATGAAAAGGAAAAACATAAACTAAAAAGTACAAAAAGATCGATACGTCCCCAGTTGCAAACATGTATATGCATGGATGTATACTTGCTTTTTTTTTTTTTCCTCTGTATGCGCCACTTTATACTGAGAACACTAAAAAAGTGTCTGACAATATTGAAAAGTGCTTCTCAAAAATACTTTTTCGTAAAACGAGACAAACTCCTCCATCTATTTATTTCGTAAATCGTAAAAATATTTTTGAAACTATAGTTTGGTTTCCATCCAAGTACTTCCTAAATACTATAATGATTGACATGAATGTGAGGATAAAAACAAGACGAAGATCTACGACATCATATTTCAATTACTGTCGTTGTAATAACAAAGCAAGAGCGGGTAGAATTTTTTCTTCTACACTTAAAACCATAACCCATTCTATTTCTCAAATTTATAATTTTTCCTTCAACTCATTTAAAAAAAAAAGTACTTTAAAAAAATTAACACATTTTTTCGCAAATAACTAAATTAATTTTTCTAATTTTGCAAATTAATTATTTAACTCCTGCATTTAGAATTTGAATAAATAAATAATTTTTAAATATTGCATATAAATATCTTGACTGTGACGTAGAGGAAGGAGCAGAGAGACGAGACAAAATCCAAACCGAACACAACAGAAAATTTCGAGGTAGCTTACAACACGGTAAGAAGCAAACCCTGGCCTACTAGACGGTTATGACTTTGTAGGAATAATTACTAAGGTGGGGAAAGTAGATACAGATCCCAACAAATTAGAAAATAAAGCACTAGAACAAACCTGCTCCTACTAGCAATAATTACAAATCTCAGGTCATGGCATATGATCTCAGAAAACTCCCTACATGCACTTTCCAAGAGGATTGTGTTCGTCCTTTCTCATAACGTAACCCCCCAGGACTAAATCAGAAATCAGCATCCTCTCACAGCTTAAAATTCAAACTAGACATTTAAAAGATAAAACAGAAGTCTAGTCACTGGAATCAAAGCTTCCACTGTGAGAGCTGCTGCCATTTAAACTATGTAAAGAGAGGCCCCTCATGTGCCCCGCCAGAGGAAAAGCATCCGTCTTCTTTTCCTGAAAAAATCTCTCCCGCTCAATGTGCTTTGCAGGTGGTGGTGGTATGGCAACAACAGGCGGCTCTCTATTGACGCCTTTTGCATGAGGAGGCGGAATTGTAGCGGGAAGAGAACGAGGACTAGGTTCTCGTGATGGCTCTAGAGAGAGCGGCCTTATTAGTGGACGATTCAGTCTTTCTTCAAGCAAAGCCAAGTCAGGGTACTGGGGTGCAGTGTCTTCATCTTCAGCCCGTACGCAAGCCTTCCCTTTCCGTAATCTGCCAGACAATCAGACAAGGGTTGGTCGGTTGGACTGAAAAAAATTTCGCCCTTCATGACAAGGGGAATTAAAATAGCAAGTCCGAAGAACAAGCAAGGCACCTAAGAAACAACTGTTCTGGCTCCTCTTCCTCTGGTTCATCATGGCCAAAACAATTACCAGCTGCTGTAGCTCCACCAGAAAGAAGGTCATCATGTCTTGCAAGTACTTTGTGAAGCTTCTCATTTAATTCAATTGCCTGAGAAATTATCTTATCGTCTCTACCCAAAAAGAAAAAAGAAGACAAAAAAACCAAGGATAAAAGATGTTTAAGGTACAAATAACTATAATTCAATAAAACATGCAAGTACTAATGTTTTTCTCAGAATTAATACCAATGCTGTGCGGCATACAGCTAATAAACCTAAGCCTCTCTCTACATAGGCCAAAAGCAGAAATGAGAAGTTTAAGGCAGCCTTGTGTTCTCACCGAGAAGTCATCACAAGATGCATTAACCTTTGCTTCTGAAATGAACATTGTTCTACAAGGTCAAGGGTGAACTCATCGCTTGCTCCCTAAAGTCAAAAGAAAAGATAAGGTTTTAGCATCATTGCTACTCATTAAAATGTTAAATAAAATAACAGCTATACTTTCAGACATTTCTTAGGAGGCAGCCATCTTAATGTTTTAGATGGCTCGTAATCTTGAACAAGTCACCAAGATGGTTTCTTGTTTTCTGCTTTGTGCCTACAAATTCTGGTACAAGCTAAGTATTTTATTATATTCCCACGGAGATTTCTGGATATAATAGCATCAGCACCAGGAAGAGGTAAAAAGAAAGAAGACGATGATGGCATGGCTGAAGTTATTATAACAAACTTATAGAGCAAGTGCATTTGTATGACAAACTGTCAGAATGACAGATCATTGGCATACCTCAGGATGCTGGGGATCAACAGCATCAAGGACTTCTTTTAGAACCTCTAATGCATTACTCGCCTTTTGAATAATACTGCAAGATATGTGTTGAATTAAGTACTCTGCTAAATGAAAATGGCAATAAGAACAAACTTTCTAGAAGAATATATTTTTCCAAGAGTTCCCTACAGCGAGGTCCCCATATCACTACTCAATTTCTACTATGATTTGACCTAAATCCACAAGAAAGAAAAAAGGAATCCCCCCAAAATTACATTTTGGCATTTTTCTCTTTTCACTTGGCCGCAAAGTCGGAAGCTTCTCTGATTTTTACTACAATAATCTCTATCCCAATTAAAATTCATGTCATGATTATCCAATTCAATGCACAGTACGTAGAGGACTGACTCAATATTATTGACCAAACGCAAGTTGACCATATAGTGTGCGGAAAATGACATTGCCATAAAATGTTTGCTGAATATGTTGTCATATTACACTAGAACCAAAAAGCAAAAATCACCTAGATTCAGGAACAGTTTGTGACTCTGCTTGCTGAGCAACTCCTTCTTCTCTAGGTGAGCCCCACTCCCTGTTCAGTACGTTACTGATCTTAGTAGGTTGTGAACTAGGATGATTTGATTGCACCACACGATCCCTTTGAGGAAATTTCACGCCAGCACTCTATATAAAGTATACATAGATTGCAGTCAGAACTATTCAGAAAACTTACAATGATTTAGCATGGACAAAAAGGAGGAAAAGTTGTACAATCACTTGCATCACATAGAAGTAATATCAAGATGGCGAAAGCCATCTTCTGTGTGGGTGGCAAATATCCGTTAGCAAGTAAGAGGGGGGGAAAACCATAAAAAGGGGGCTTTTAAAAATTACATAAAAATACAAAAATCGACACCCAAATATCTTGTGCAACCTTTTGTAACACCTTAATAATCCTGTTCAAATACAAAATTAAAAATACTTCTCCTTGAGATGGCAGCTTTCGACTTTGTGATTAAGGCATACTAAACAAGCTTTTTACAACCCACGCTGTCATTCTAGGAACCAAACACTGTATTAAGTCATTAAGATTTTCAATGTCATGGGGCTTAAAGAATTCTCGCCTTTCTTACTATGCCAAGTGACAAGCCCAGCCACCACTGATAAATCAAATAATTCTAGATTTACTTCTCATATTTGCACCCACCACTAAATCATAATATGCATTATAATACTGGGGAAACTTTCCAGAAGCACCGCCAAGGGATGTTTGCGTGGCATCTAAAAGGAGAAAGATCCTCTCTCGGGCAGGCAAATCTGACTGCAAGCAAAGAAAATGCCAAAAACAATAGGGTCAGCCAAAAAAAGAAAAGAAAAAAAAAATACTCCCAAAAGAAGAGTTTGGGTTGGGAAAAAATCACCTTTTTCTTCACAATATTCACCAAAATAGGAATAATTCCCATATCAACCACATGCTTATGAATAGGATCCCCAATATTGTTCATCAACATTTCCAATAACTAGAAAATCAAAAAATGAACAGATGATTTAGTAGGGTGCCATAGAAGAGGACAGCAATTTGGTTGGTGTTTGAGTGAAAACCAAACCATAGTTTTAAAAGTGATTTTACGGTATACGAAGTAAGTATGTGAGAGAAGTTATATAATGAAGCTTATCGTTTGTGGTAAACGTAGTATCAGGTACATCATGAAAATTTACTATATACCACTCACCATGACTGAATAAAGTTGAGTGTTGGGATTTTTGCCAGCAAGTCTTTTTTTAATAGCTTTAACAACATCTTTAGCTTGCCTGCATATTCAGAAAAAGATACAGTGGTTGAAATTTTGGTACTACAATTATTCTGGCAGATCAACAGACTCATCCATGTTCCAAATTTCAAAATCCAGACAAGAGTCATCCAGGATCAGGAATCAATCCAGGGATGGTCACGTGGTGAAAACAATTAGAATAGAAAATTAAGTATGTTTGGCATCACCATGCCAGATTTTCACCACTTAACCAGGACTTTGACAACAGATGCAGTCAAGATGACTACATTTCATATAATACCGTTGATAATAACTTCATGGGCATTTATCCACTGTTCATTTCTCTTTGCAATGTTCTAGAATAGTTATCAATCATAACGAACCAATGACATGAAAAGAGTTAGAAGCAAGATGGGTACCTTTGATCATGAGCAACTATTTCACATATTTCAATATTTTTCATCCAATCAGTTTCAGCCAGTTTTTCACTTGTTGCAGCTTTGACAAGCTTGGCTGCCATCTTATTTCAGGTTCAAATCCAACTACAAATAGAACATCAAAAGTGAACAGATGATACAGAAGGGGATGCAGACGAGAAGCAAAGCAAGGTTCGATACTTTGTCAGCTGAAGATGAAGGAAAAAACACAAACTACAGAAGTCCATAAAAGGCTACAAGAAAAACTTTCAGAAAATCTTCTACATATGATAGAGAGAATTGACAACTGGAATAATGAATAATGCAAATCATAGGAAACCTAACATAGACAGTTTTCATTGTATTTGATACAGCTAGCATCTACTACTTGTTAATAGAAGAACAGGGTGACATGCAGTTCGATTTAACATTTCATCTTTCTGCAAAGTATAGACCAAAACCCCACTTCAATGTCATAATAGATTGTAGATGGTTCTATATAATTCTCTAGGAGACTTGAACTTTTGAAGGCAATTGATCATTCAGTTGATTGATATCACAACATTCTTAACTTGTACCATAAAACATAACCCCCCTTCACTGGACAATAAACAGGCCAGACATGGCAGTGAAACTTACATGCCGCGTCTGCGGTGCTAAGTTAAATGCCAGAGTGTAGGATGACCAAACAAATAGGGAACTGCTACTGGATCATAAACTATCCTGCAACCAATAAAACTTAAAAGGTCAATTAACTCACTTCACCAGATTTCAAATGCCAGAGCAAATGAATAGCATTGAAGAAAATAAGCAAAAATTTATAATGGTATGTCCAGAACCATATCGCCACCCTCTCCAACAAAACACGCACGCACAATAAAAATGAGTCAAGAAGCTATGCTCTCAGATCAATTAATTTCACGTTGCTCAGTACTTTCATTCCCAGTTAGCAACGATTAATATTTTGGGTGTCATAATAAAGCTCGGAAACAAGGTAACTTAACCATGCTCTCAGATCTCAATTAAGACACGTAAGAAACCCACAGCACACTCCTCTGTTTAAGAAAAATGAAACCCACAAGAAACTCAGTACCAGCAAGATTATATAACTGTAGAAAATTTAATTTCGACCAGCACTTTCGATCACTGCAAGTGAATTTGATCAACGGCAAAGATTACGAGGTTTAATAGAATGAAAATTACAGCTGAAAAGAAGACGTACTTCTGAAGATGGATGCGACGACAGAGAGAACGAGAAAGAAAACGAAGATGCACTGGTAAGCCCTAAAGAGCTTCAGCATTTCAATAGAGAAACGGACTCCCTGGAAGATCAAATGCTACTCAGTGTATTTTACTGCCGTTATCTTTTCACAGACTGCTTTTGTTTCCTTTTCTTTTTGGGTTGGCTTTAAGCTTTTTGAACAATTTACACCAATTCCTTATTGCTAGGGAGAGAGGATTTTGATGCTGGGAACAGATTGAAGAAAAAAACACAGAAAAGAGAATTAAGAATTTAGTTGATAGCTGGAATTAAAAAATTGAATAAAATATTATATAGCAGAAAGAGAAGATGGTTAGGAACGCTGAGTGGTGAGAGCAGAGCAGCGAAGGAGTGAAGAAGGAAGCTAATCGACGAAAGCGGCACCGCCCACTAAGGATGTCCCTACCCTGAACTTTCTTCCTACTGCTAAAACTTCTTTTCCAAGGAGTCAAGGACGACATGCTGGCACTGGCATTTGTTAAAATCACCGGCCACTTTCTTTATTCCTCCTGCTACCCATTTCTTTGCTGCCACGTGTTAATGTGCTTTTATTACAAATAAATAATGGGCCCTGATCTTTCGGCCCAAAGAATCCACCCAATTAAGAAATTGATCAATCCCGTTTTTATATATACAGTAAATAATGTATTTTTAGGACTGCGAAAAATATGAATTAATAAAATTATCAGTTATTACCTCTGATTTTAATTATAAAATATTATTTATAATTTATAAATAAATTTTTATAATTAAGATTAGAGGTACTAAGAAAGTCGCCATTTCAACCGGTCATAGGCAATTTTTCAAAAGCTCTCCTGTGCCGTGTGTAGAGCCGGGAAAACGGGCCGAGCCCGTCTGGCCTAGCCCGTTTAAGTCGCGGGCCGGGCTTGTATTTTGGAGTCTTGAAAGGAAAGTCGGGCTTAAAAGGGCCAGCCCTGTAGGGTCGCGGGCCGGCCCGTTTAAGCCCGCCAATATTTTTTTTTAATTTTATATTTTTTTCTTAACTTAAAAAGAAAAACCCTAACATTTTACATATAATATACTCTTAGTTTTACTTACCCCCACTGCTTACACAAATGGCATTCCCAAAAAAAGAAATCACCATAATTCTAAGTATATTAACAAAAATGTTATTATTTATAAGTTGTCAAAACCTATTAAAATACTGTATGTGTTATTTTACAATCTTTATTTATCATTCTTTCATATTTTTTATACTTGAAATAGAATTGGTTAAAGAATCTTTTGAATTAAAATAAAGATCTATATCATTTTTATAGTTAGAAACAAATTTAGAACTAGGGATGATGAACTCTTTTCTTTTTTGTCAGTAGGACAAACAATTATTTTCTATATATACTATGTTTGTTAGTTAAACTTTTTTGTTAATTATTTATAATTAAACAAGATCATCCATATTGTAATTATTTACTGAACTTAGTGTTTATTTAGTTGTTTATGTCTGTCCTCTATTTAGTTTGTTCATTCAATAGACTCTATTACACTGTGATAGATGTTTTGACATAATGATATTTATGTTTGTGACTTATTTTTATTTATATTTATATCTTTTATTAGTAATTTTGTTGTTTCATTTTTATTATTTCGATAAAATAGGCAAAAAATAATAATAAAAATACATTTTAGTTAAACGGATCAAAAGCCCGCGGGCCAGTCTAAGCCCGTTATCTCATGGGCCGGGCTTGGGAAAATGCTTCATTTTTTGAACTCGGGCTTAAACGGGCCGGCCCGTTTAAGCCCGAGCCTGTGACGGGCCGGCCCGTTTTCCCAGTACTAGCCGTGTGGTGGGTGCTATGTACTATGGAGCCAGTTTTTAAGGTTGAAATACAAAAAATTAAAGTCCACCTTTAATACTTTAATTTTATATACATAGTTTTAATTTAGCCTCTTAATATTAAAAATTGTTAAAAAAATGACATTGAGATTTTAAATATTAATAAAATATTCTCAAATACTAATATATTAAATTTAATTTTCAAAATAATTATAATTATTACAAAGATCATTATTTAAGCCTAACGATTTGAAAGTTAAAAGATTAAATGTATGCTTTTTAAAATTAAGGAACTAAACTGAAACATTATATAATATTAAAGGGCTAGATATATACCTTAACCAATACAAAATATAAGAGAATTTTGAAAAATAAATATAAAAAAATGCATAAAGAAGAAATTAATTTAAATAATTATGTTAAAAAAAACATTTGGAAGATAGTTATTCTTATTGCTAAATTTAATTTTTAATATAATTCATATAGATATTAAAAAATAGCTACTCATAAAATTTACAACAGGCTGAAGTACTGCATTTATAATGCATAAAGTGTACTGTGTGCTTCATCTTCACTTAGCGATAATTAGTGGGGGAGACTAATCGCGATTTTCTCAAAAAATACGGTAAGGTGCAGGATGAGGTGACCGGCCGGGGGACGTTATCAGATTTCATAAAGGTTGAAAGTGGAGGGGGGGCCTGGGACACAAGTCAGGCCGGGAAAGCGAACAGTGAAACAGCTGCTAAAGGCTTCTCGCACGTGCAGAGAAAGTTGAGATGTTAATATTTATGCTACCACTTATCCTAATTATAAAATCTTATTTATAAATTATAAATAAGATTTTATAATTAGAATTAGGACCAGACTTGACATAAAAAGCTAATTAATTAATTTAAATAAATTAAGAAAGTTAAGTAAATTATTAAATTTTAATAAATGTGATTTGATCTCCTAAAATATTTTTATGTAATATTAGAAAAATTAATATTTTCTATCCTATAATTTTAATTCAGTAGTAAATTAGTTTCCAAACTTCAACTTGATGTAACTCCATTCTCATATTATTTACGGATTACAACTCAAACATTAAACTTTAATTCAATACAATTCATTTCTTGTAAGTTTAATAATTTAAAATATTGATTTTTATATATTAAGAGGGTTAAAGTGCAAATATGCCTTTACTCAAGAATACTGGTACCTGAAAGTTTTTTTGTGTGTACAAATTTGCTTCAAAAATTTAAAATCATAATAATATTATCTCATACCGTTAAAAATTAACGTATTGACTATTAAAATAGTGATGACTATTAACATTTTTGGTCGTGGGAGGCAACATTGTTACGATTTTAAACTTTTGAAATAAATTTGCATCAAAAAAAAATTTTAGTTGTCCAATACTCTTAAATGAATACTGATAAGGTAAATTTATACCTTAAATCAAAATAACTTTGAAGTACCCAATACTCTAAAAACTAAAGTTTTAAAGGTTAAGGTTTATTTAATACCACGGTTTTATTGCCATCTAGAAAACATCCCAAGAAAGAAAACCACATTTTAGCACAACATTGGTTTTTGTGAACACTTACCCAAACACCTCTATAAAATTTTTTTTTTTTTTGTAAAATTTGATTATTGTGCTGGAACTATGGTTTTAGTGGCCAAAGACATGGTTTTCCACCGAGGTAGGATGATCATCTTTTCAAAAAAAAAAAAATGATAGTCTCAGAGGACTGTATACCAAAAATATCCTCCATTCAATTGCAAAATCTCTTCTTTTTTTTTTTAAACCATCACATTAACTTATATCTTTCTAATAATTGAAATATGAAAAAGTAGTTCTATAACAATTATTCAAACATTTTCAATTATTGAGATAACTTTTTTACAAAATTTATTATTAAAAACCTCACTTTTCATTAAAATATATCCAAAAACTAATCCAAATACAGCCAACCAATATTTAATGTCTTTGTTTATTTTTCATCAAAATGTCACTTTTTAAAATTATTTGTACTTGACTATACTTTTGTCAATCATTTTTTGGAAATCACTAGTTAGTCTAAGCACATGTTCATTTTTCCATCTTGGTGTACTTGGTCTTCTACATGTCTATGCACAATTTTAGAAGGCTATTTTTACCCAAAACAGAAAAAGAAGGCTATTTTCACCAAAACAGTGTGTTGACAATTTTCAACATGAATTCAGATATAGACTAAATAATTATAGAGATTATAAACTAATATTGAAAATTACTACTTCTTCCTTCTTCTTGTTTTTGCTGAAAAAAAGGCAGAGCGAGGACAATTTATTCACTAGAAGTTAAATGCGAGTTTGTGCTTCATTCGAAATAATGAAAAGATGAGAAGCTAACCGGTATGCACAATTGCACACTGCTACATGAACAGAGAAAATCTTCAGTACTTCCTTCCATAATAAATATAAGGAGAATTAAAATCAAATCCCTAAAAAAAATTACTAAAAAGTCCTAATAATAATCTGAACAGTTTGTAATGATAAATTTTAAAATGAATAATGATTATTTTTAGGACTTTTTTGTAATTTTTTTAAGGACCTTATTGTAATTCTCCCGTAAATATAAAAGTAGTTTGAGGATTAACGTTAATTTTAAATAAAAAATCTCATTCTATTTTTTTAAAATTTATAATTTTTTTTCTTAAACTCTTATTGTTAATTGCATGAATTAAAGATGGGTTTTATTAATGTGAATAAAATAATTAAAGAATATAATTTAAAAAAATCAACATATATTACTACAAATAATTAATTTAACTAATTTTTTTAATGCCTGCAAATTAATTATCTAATTTTTACATTTGAGAGCATAAGGAGTACTAATATATGATTAACACAACAAAATACACATACAAACGCACACAGACACACATATAATGAGCTACTGTTTATGAGTATTGTATATTTTTAAATTTTAAATAAGAGAAATATCACCCATATGATTATATATAAAGTTAAAATCCTAAATATTAATAGTACTCTTCTCAAAAAATTATAACTCACTACTTCCTGTTTGAAAAAATTCAAAAAAAAAGTTGGGTTAAGATGTAATTTTGACCCTAATCTTATTTCTCATGTGTAATTTTGCCTCCGATCTTATTTTTTAGATGTAATTTGCCCCTAATCTTTTTTTTGGGTACAATTTTGCCTCTAATTTTTAGATGTAATTTTGCCCCTCATGGTCAAAATTGCACCCAAAAAAAAGACAAAAGTCAAAATTGTACCATTAAAAAGATCAATAACAAAATTATATCTAAAAAATATAATCGGGGTTAAAATTACACCTTAACCCAAAAAAGTTTAATGTCAATTAGATTATTAAGCTTCAAAAAAATACCAATAGTCTCGATGGAATAAGTTACATCCCCTTAAATTTAAAGCCTTGAAAACCAGATAAATATGTGACATACGCACACATAAATATAAAGTCTGGAATTTATTTTACTGAAAAAAAACTCTGGAATTTAAAATTTGTGGGAATACAAAAATTTCCCGTCACTGACATAAAAAACATGCAATGGTCAAGCTTTGTTACAAGGATAAAAATTCTGGCAAAAAAAGAAAGTTTCATCAAAATATACGTAAAAGGAGAAAATATTGAAGCCATCTTTTGAAAAAAATTACCATTTCCATCTATTTAATTTTAACTCAGTTATAACTTAATTTTGAAATTTTAACCCATGCAATTCTGACCTTATAATTTTAAACGTTGTAAATTAATCCTTAAATTTTAATTCACAGTATCTCAATCTTTAAAATTTTAGTCATTTAACATTTTAGTTTTGAAGTTTTATGAAGTATACAATTTTTTTTTTAAATACAGAGGCTAAAATATTAAATGAATAAAATTATAAGTACTGCATTGTAGTGAATAAAATTTATAGATTAAATGGTAGCTTAATTAAAATTATAAAAATTAAGTTGTTCCAAGTTAAAATTTATCCTATGTTTGATATGAGGGAATCTGAGTGGAAGAAATTTTTTTTAATAAGTTTGATTTAAGAAATTAGGGAACTGAGGTTATAGATTTTGATTAAAAAAAATATTACATAAAATATTAAAAAATTAATTAAAAATTTTTAATATTATTTCTTTAATTTTTTTGGTGAATAATTTCTTTAATATTTTAAATTAATCTTGTCAGAAATTTTTTGTTCTTTTGTTTTTTTTCCTTCCATTTCCCTCGCATTAAACGGACCATGTGTGAATAATAGGGACCAAAAGCTAACTCCCCCGAGAAAATTTTTGTCTCTTAGCACGCATGCGATATGATGACTTGCCAAGTATGGAGCCGCTCTGATATATAATACGACTATATTCTCAATCTCTTGTTCCTATCCGCTTCAATTTCATCGGCCTCACTCATCCATCCCGGTTTGACCTCTGAGATTTGTGTAATTCCTCCATGGCAACTGCTCTGCTTCGGAGAACCAGTATCATTCACAATGCCCGCCGCTTCAAGTTCCCTAGCTCATGGTTTCTCAGTGAGCTGCTGACTCAGCATTTCCCGATCGATAAGGCTGTGAATGAAAATGCTATTCGTAGAGTTTCAAATGGTGTTTCATTTTACTCCCAGGTCGCTTCTGGTGGTGGAGTCCCATCGTATATGCGGGGAGCTGTATTCTGGGAATTTGGAAAGCCTCTCTCTATGGAGGAATTCCACATCCCTCGCCCCAAGGCTGGAGAAGTTCTCGTTAGAACTAAGGGTAGGCAATCCTTAATTTTTTTTTTTTTCCTTCTCTTCGTCATTGTTGTTGATGACTTTCGACTTTGCGATCAGTCCGATTTCGACAACATTGTCAACAGCAAGAATCGTCGATGATTTTTTCATACCTTTTCAGATCCTAAAGACTCCTGGTTTTCGTTTAGTTTCTTAGAATCAAGCCTTTTTGGCTTTAAACGAGTGAATTAAATTAGTTAATGATCGAGTGATTTGTTGTGCATGCAGGTTGTGGAGTATGCCACTCTGATCTCCACGTTATAAAAGATGAAATTCCTTTTTCCAGTCCTTGCGTGCTGGGACATGAGATAACTGGCGAAGTTGTTGAACATGGCTCTCTCACAGACAATAAAACAAAAGAAAGGTAGCAGTCGAAGTTTAATGGTCCTTTTGCTACTCGTTAATGTTCTAGTCAGTTGACTTTAAGCTCCCTTTCTTCGGTCAACTTAAATGGAAAGTTAAAAAGTCGTAATAATTATGCTATCCTGTCTCGCAGGCTTCCCGTTGGATCTCGAGTCGTTGGTTCCTTCATTATGCCTTGTGGCAACTGTTCTTACTGTTCAAAGGTAACATCGCATATTTGCATCAAGCGCCTTGTCTGATTTATTGCTCGCCAATGTTGTCACAAGTATCCCACTGCTAAACAGGGGCATGATGATTTATGTGAAGCTTTCTTTGCTTACAACCGGGCAAAAGGAACCCTCTATGACGGTGAAACTCGGCTGTTTCTCCGCGGCAGTGGTAAATATGATTTACATGTTATTTAGGCTAATAATGTTCCCTTAGTTACTTTGGTCTCCAGTCTTTTACTAGCATTGGCAGAAGAACTCTATTATGATCCACTAAACGACCTGAAAGCTTATAGTAGACTACACATCTTCATAATTTGCTACTGGAAGCAGTACCACCAGCTGGACCACCTCTGCCTTTTACTGTCACTACACCTATTACTGTAATTAGTCACGAGTGACGAACTGACGAAATACCAAAACAACCCAAGGTCCTTTCACTGAAATAAGTATGTTCCTTTGATTGCATCTGCAGTTGATTAATTCAATGCTCCGCAAGTTGGTGGCCAAAAAAAAAAAAAATTATCTCCCCCCACCCCCCGGGTGTTTTATTTTCAGTTGATACTTGATTGCAATGTATATGACATTCATTTTTAAACTTACTCATTGATAGTATCGGTCTTTATTGAATGCTGAAAATGATTGATATTAATAATTTATAGGAAAACCAGTCTACATGTATAGTATGGGAGGGCTTGCGGAATACTGTGTTGTGCCCGCAAATGCGTTGACCGTATTACCAGACTCATTGCCATATACAGAGTCTGCAATACTAGGATGTGCCGTCTTTACTGCATATGGTGCTATGGCCCATGCAGCTGAGGTGCGTCCAGGGGATTCTGTTGCTGTTATTGGAACGGGAGGTGTTGGTTCTAGGTAAAAGTAACTACTTTCCTGATGAGGGTCTAATTTTCACCTAGCAGTCGCACTACCTTTCTTTTGGTTCTCTTTGACAAAATGCTTGCTTGAGTTAGACTTAATAACATTTTGTCAATTACATCTGCCTTACATTACAACAAAGTTATGGGGACAACAAAGAAAGCATAGCTGCTCAACTATAGTGACTGAATATCTGTGCTTGTGCTCACTGACACTCCATTTACCCCGGAGCACATCCAATCTTACACTATATGGTTGTGCCTAAGCATTTGGAACTTATTACTATATTGATGAGATTGTTTCTCATTGTGTTGTTAGATTGTATACAAACCTATCGAAAAATTTGTGGGAATCATACATTTAGCTCTTTCGTTATGGGGACCCCTTGGATGCTGCAAAATGATTTTGGAGATTATAGGTATTCCAATTCACCCCTGGGATACAGAACATTGAGCTGAATTTATCCTCCTTTCCAGCTGTTTGCAGATTGCTAGAGCATTTGGTGCTTCTGAAATTATTGCTGTGGATGTTCAGGATGAAAAGCTAGAGAAAGCAAAAACATTCGGCGCTACTCACACCGTGAATGCAGCACAAGAAGATCCAATTGGAAAGATAATTGTAAATGCATTTTCCTTTGATTCAATCTTTTAAGATCTAACAGTGCCAGGTCGGAGGATTACTGCTATATTATTTCTAATTGAAACAATAAAGCTGCGTGGTTTTTTTTTTTTAATTTTACGTAGGAACATAAGAGAATCTTTTTCACGACTTGTTTGCACGGGTGTCTACGAGGAATCAATGGTTAAACAAGTTGATTTAGAAGGCTGTCAAAGCATCAATGTCTTTCTAATTCTAAGGCTGCTAGATGAACCTCTGTATTTAAAAAAAAAAAAAAAATTTGCCATTCTGTGTATTTTGATAAGACAGAAGTATAGGGAGCATATATTTTGCTTTGAAATAACTCTGCCCAGTGCCCATGCTGTTTGGTTCCTCTATTCTGCCACCATAACTTGTTTGGTTTTAATAGTTTCAGTTTCTTCTCATTCTCCTTATGGGACATCCTTTGAAATTCTGGTCCGTGAACTGTATATCAAGCTTTTCCTATTCATATTTGTCGTCTATTTTTAAGCTTTCTTGTTTCCAATATCGTGAGATTCAAAAAGTAAACCCTTATTCTACAATATTACTAGTAATTATTTTTGCTATTATTTTCTGACAAAGCCACAGGTATAGAGTTAGTAGGAAAGCGCAAACAATTTTTCAATTCACAAATTGCCTCATCCTTGGGATGTTTGACTTCTTTCACTCTGAAGGGAGCCTTTATTTTGTTTACACTGATTTCAACAGGAAATAACTGGTGGAAAAGGTGTTGATGTTGCTGTGGAAGCCTTGGGAAAACCGCAGACGTTTTCCCAGTGCACACAAAGTGTGAAGGATGGAGGAAAAGCTGTGATGATTGGACTAGCACAAGCTGGTGCTGTAGGACAAATGGATATAAATCGCCTTGTTCGTAGAAAGGTGCATATTCTTTGTCTGCAATATATCTTTCTAACTATTAAGTAACTCCTTATACTCTCAAGTCTCAACTATAATGGTCAAGATACACCTGTGCCATTCAAATCTAGCTGGCCTTATATAATCTATTTGGAACTTCCATCGCATCTTTTAAAATTAATGTTCTCCTGACACTGAAACAAAATCTGTTACCAAGTATAAAATACCTCAATTTATCTAAAACTTGTTTTACAAAACGTAAAAATATTGAAACTCTTGAAGTTAGTAAATACAGGTATTTTTCTCTCTCTCAAGTTACATGATTTTTATTTATGTTGATTTTCTTCTTTTAAGCCAAGTTTAAGGCCTTAGCTGGATCAATTCATTGAAATATCTTGCATTCACATGAATAATCTGGTTGAAAGATGATCTGACTTCAAACTGTAGAAATTAAGCTTAGTTTTCTTAGGCACTGTTATGAAATTCTCTGTTAAACTGATAATTATTTTTGGTGCCTTTCATTATTGCAATGAACCATTACAACATCTCTGAGTAGATAAAAATTATCGGATCGTATGGAGGTAGAGCAAGGCAAGATCTTCCTAAGTTAGTCAGACTGGCAGAAACAGGTATCTTCAATCTTTCCAATGCTGTTTCTAGAAGATACAACTTTGAGGAGGCAGGCAAAGCATTTGAAGATCTCAATCAGGGAAAAATTGTTGGACGAGCTGTCATTGAGATAAGATAATCTTGTTCTGCATTGCATGCAATGCTTTGTGGCTAGAATTCTGCTTCTTGCCCGTAACGCAAGGAACTGGTGGCCTGAGATCACATGATGGATATTTTTTGCTCACATTCTGCTCATCTGTACTGATAACAGTTCCTAATGGCCATGATGTGTTCAAAGCACTCAAATAAAATAAATATTTTCATGTCACTTCTGGTTCATTTTGTCGAGATAGTTGCATTTAGATATCTCAAAGTTAAATCGTACGGATTAAAGATATTATAATGGCTGAAGTGCTCATGACTGACGTCTTATGAATATACGCATTCATGCATTGTGCACTACATGAATAAGTAGTCCTGCATTTTCTGTTTAACTGAGTAAGAAAGCATCGGGGCCCCTCATCTTCTCTTGTAGGGTCTATCCTGCATGCAGCCAGGGAAAAGAAGGACAAGGGGAGAAAATAATGTGCACCTCCTTTTGGTGCCGCAGCCCTCCCTTGTAAGAGTTTTCTTTCTCCTTTTATAGTAACCAAATTCCTTTGTTGACAGGCTCCTACTTTCCATAAATTCGAAATTTGCGGCTGGAAAATTATATTGCGAGTTTTAGTGCCTGATTTTGATGCCTATGTTAAGGTGCATTGCTTGAACCAGTATTGGTTTATTTTCGCTTCTTCCCTCAGTGACAAGGGTTATGTAATGTTTGTGTGTTGTGTGGTTCCTTCTATAAATGCTTTCAGTTTCTCTGGTTCACTTTTGTCTCTGATTGCTTTTAATTGCCAAAGAGAAATGTGAGAAAATATCATAAAACTAAGGATGCGAGAGAGAGAGAGAGAGAGAGACTGAAAACATGGAACTCAGTAACTGGGGACATTACATATTAACCACACAACATAATGCCACCGCTAGTGAGTTGAGCCTAACGTCCCAAACATGGTGAACTAATTTTCGACCTATACGATTTTGAAAAACTTGAAACGGGAGAGCCTCCGCAATCAATATAAAACAAAATTTATTTAGCAAGACTATCAACAATATGATTTATTTCTCAAATTTATATGCCTGTAAATTCCACGTAAAACAGCCCTTTACGATCGCAATAGTGTTGTAAACGAACGGTGTTAAGGATCCATATAAAATACAAGCTCATAATTTAGTTTCATAGAACGCCTGGGGAACATGGCAAGGTCCTGATAAGTGATACCCCCTTGTGCTGTTTGCATGACAATTTAGACTAAACAAAAAACTGGACAGAGCATCCCCCCCCCAAAAAAAAAAAAAAACTCTTCCCCCACAGACAACAAAAATTAAAATTGATATCTTTCAATTGACCTTCATTATGTGTGGTTTTCGTCGATTTTTAGATGAATCGTAGAAGGCTGCAGAATGAATTCCTGTCGGATAGCTGGAGAAACACAGACGTTATATACATCACGACAGGCAGCTATAAATTCACATGAATAGTTCCGTGTAAATGTCCACACCAACATACAAGTGCAGTGACCATGCAACAGAACAAAAAATAAAAAATAATAACAACAACAATTAGAGCCGGGTAAATACAAGAATTCTTTTTGTACCTACAGTTATTATTTAAAAATGGTGTAATCCATATACAAAATTTCAGGATCAAGCATAAAATACATGCTTGTCCATCATCCGATGATAGATTAAACTACCGTTTAATCATCCTATTCCTCCTCAGACCTTGGACCAACTGAATCATTTGCTACCATTCTCCATATGTAAACAAAAGAAACAAATGCAGAACGTTCCAGCTTTCATCAAGCCGAAGAAGCTAAGCTAAAAAGATGTAAGCCTTCCTTGCACCAACTACTCTTCCTTCCACTTATTAACATATTTGAGGAAAGCATTGGCAGGATTTTCTCTAGGTGGCGCTCGAACACGAGTAGACCTTCGGAGCACAGACTCATCTAGTGCAATTTTCTGTATCTGATCCTTTAACCTCTTCTGAAGTTCCGTACTATAAACATGGAATATAAATAAAAATGAAGTTAACTGATACAAAAATATATTGACAACATTTTAAAGTATATTCAACGGAAGATTGGAAGATTACATGTCATCACTAGGAGATCAGAACCTGATTTAGCAATACAGGTTTCACGGGAATCAAGATGGTAAACATGGTCGTTATCTCAAAATGTTAAATTAATCAAACTTCTGATGACAGTTTCTAATACATGGTGTTTTCTTTTTTTTCCAGCCATGGTCAACCACTCCAAACTATCAGCTCATTTTGAAGACATTCTACGTTAGAATTACTTAGTAGAAATTTTTTAAGTAAACAAAAATAAAGGTGTTCCCTTGTTGTTGTAACCATGATCGGTTTTGCCCGCTTGCAGCATTTATAAAACGTGTAAAGCCGGGATAAAAGTCTAAATTGAAGGCTTCTACTTAGGTTCAGATCATCATATTCCACTACGTGAATTGGAAACAAGGACTGAGAAATGTTCTACTAGTACTCCATTAAAATCTTCAATTGGAAAACAATCTAACTCACCATATTCTACTATAATTTTTCCAGTTGCTTGTGCAATGCTCTTTCCCGCACACCCTTGCGATTCAGTGACCTCATCAATGCCTCAAGCTATTCAGGCAAACCAATAAAAAGTTAGGAGTCTCGTGCCTAAAGGAAAAGCACATATAGCAGGCCATCTAAATTTAGTACCTCTTAGTTCACCAAAAAAAAAAAAAAAAAAAATCAGTACCTCTTCCTTGCTGCTGTAGTAGCCCATTCCTTGGAATCAGAACTTTCCACAAATATCCTCCCATCACGCGCGAAACCACCAATACCTGTTGTAATGCCTGTCTTACCCAGGGGACTTGTACGAACAAATCGTTTTTCCATCTCTCGTTCAAAATATTCTCTGTGCAACAAGCAGAATCATTAAAACTCCAATGAGCAAACTAAATAAATAATTTTAAAAAAAAAACAAAAGAATGGAGGTAGGCTAAACCCCTTTTCTATACTGTTCTTCTCTGGCGGATCGTTCTCCCATTTAATTGCTTCTGTGATTCCTTTCTGGATGACTCATTTCCATTTCCTGCTGGTTCTTTCAGTTCTAAACTCAGCTTCCTAGAAGACTTCTTGGACGCACCATTTGAATGTTTGTCCAAACTGCTCATAAATTTAGAACAAGTTTTATGTTGGAAGTCACAAAAACTACTGGAAAGAAAAAGGCACGCAGCTAAAATTCACTATATCAACACTGACCTTCCACCCAAAGCATCCCCGTTCCTAGATGATTCCTTCTCTCCATTCTCTTTTCTTTCCATGTCCCCATTCTGTCTACTGTGATTATTTTTTGTTGAGACAGTTGCTACATTTATTTGATGGTGCCCATCCATACTCCCATTGCTTTCAAACTCAGCTTTCAGCCGTTCCTTTTCTTCTCTTCTTTTCTACCATCTTTTAGCGCTTCTCCTCTTCTAGTAGCACCAATTGCCTGCCGCTGTTCAATAACCTCGTCCAACTTTTCCCTAAAAATGGAGGGTTCAAGAACTCGATTGACCAATTCGCACAAGATTTCTAGCTTAGCATTGATATCACGAGGCCATAATGTCCCCTTTTTATGGTAGCTTCAAACTGCCGTAACCCAGGAACATTGATCATTTCTAGAAAATCGCATAAATATTCTTGCCAATTAATCATTGTAATCTGAAAATGAAGTGGGATTAGGTACTGTTATATCATTAAAAAGAAAGAAAGAAAAATAACTTGCATAGAATACCAGATTGCAAGGGAAGTTTCATTTGGAACATGTGTATTGAACATCAAAAATAAAAAATACACACTAATAACTGCTAGTAGAAAGATATATCCAAGGGAGATGCTGACCTTAAACTTCCGTTTTCTTTCTGCACAACTGAAGCATAATCACCATCGTCTTTCATGAGCACCCGAAAGAGTGCTGCATGAGATTCCATTAGGAGAACCACATTGCTTCTCCTTGTGGCAGATTGAATTTTCAAAATCTTCCAGCCAGAGTAGGGCGACAAATGCAACAACCTACCAAAGAAGACAAAAATCCCAAACCATTAAGAGATCCCCTACATGATGAATCGGAAC